GGATCACTTTTATATTCTGGTCTCTTTGCTTCAATCTGATTAGTAATTTTTCGTTGTTTGTAACGAATAATTTTAAGCATCATTTGCGAGTCTATGAATTGTCACCAGCTCCAGTAATTAGCAATAAACTTCAACACATCACCACATTTGCGCCTCTGAACTAGAGTAACCAATTGATTCAGAAATAATGCTGATTGTGAAGTGATTCGTTCTCATTTCAAGGTGTATGCCGAAGAAAACATCCGAATTCTTATAAATAGTAGTGAATTGGAAGAGCTGAATTGCCCCGAAGCAAGTGACCTGTTCGAAAGTGACGATGATGATGAGAGTAGTGAAGATGAAGCTGATGCGAACAATGAAGACGGTAGTAGGCCGAGAGAGAAGACTTTGCAAGATATTGAAAAACGCGCACAGAAAAGGGCATATAAACAAAAGTGGACTGCTCGACGGAACGACCTTCTTTGGGATTACTACGAATCATCGTGGTACTCAATCTCGGTAGTCCAATTTGATTGTCATATTTTGTGCCAGTTATTTTTTCATCCTATATTACCAGCTGCATTACTTTATGCTTTTCAGTGGTATCAAGAAACTATGAGCGTTTTGGGTAGGTATTGGGAAAAAAATGAATTTCAGAGTGCTGTACAAATGTTGGAAATAGCGCATATGATCGGGAAATCATCGGCTGAAACGATGTGGTGCGCGGTGGTTGGCTTGAACAGTCAATTGGTCGATCAGCTGATATCAATTGAGGCGTACACGAACGTTTGTATCGATAAATTACGTCCGTTTATTCGCAGATATTCACCGAAAGATGCGAGCGCTCTGAAGGGTGACGATGTGTTGAGGATATCGTTCGATAAAGAGTTCGTCCTTTTACGTTTTGTTCTCTTGTGCAGTTTCTTTTTTGTTTCGGATCTTTCACTGTACGCGTTGTTTTTAGTTTTCCGTGAATGTCACGCGTTTAGTTTTTAAATTAGAATGATACGTTATTGAGTGTCAGTTGGTCACTTTCTGTGTTCGAAATGGATAAGTGATCAGTTTTAGATTAACAATTCCAATGTATGCGCATTGGTCACTGTATAAAGGTATGATCAATGATGAATACTTTATGTGTCGTACCCAGTTCTGGCAACAACGCGGTGACGCCAGAATGAAAGCACTTCTCGCTGATCTTGGGTACGTACATCTTTGTTGATTTCATTTCTCTCTTCTTTTTTGGATTTTTTCGCTTCTCTGTCTTCTAGGTAGATTGCTTGAAGTTGAAGTAAACTTTATCTGTGTAAATTTTATTTATGTAAGTTCGTTTTTAGATTAACGCTGATCGAATGTAAACAACTTTATTCAGCACTGAGTCAGGAGCGTAAAAAAGAAGTGTTCAGAGTGCTTGAACAGGAAATCAATTCAAGTTTCGCTTCGTTTACGGCTGTTATAGGGTATTGCAACAGGTGAGTGTTATAGTATCATCTGTGTGGTTTACCTGACGTATAATTATACATTTGATTTGTTGTTCTCAGTTTCATCTATTATGCAGTGTGGTTCAGTTTTACATTTAGTAATTTGTTTGAATCATTTCAATTTGTAATTGTTTCTCACTTCAGTTGAAAGAGTCTAAAGTAATGACGAAATTATTTTCTCATTACTTTTGACTCTTTCAACTGAATTTCAAAATGCGCACATCCTCGATTCTTTATAATTATATTCATCATGTCTCTTACTTGTGCTTGTATAAGATTGAAGCATGTTTTTACTTTGTTTGTTCGTTGTATCACGAAGAAACTGTTCCTGTGGCCTGGTGAATGCATAGAATTTTGAGGTTCAATGCATCCGATTTTGCGCGTGCATTATGTGTTCGTCTTGAAGTGGGTCAATCTGAGAGTGAATCTGTTTACGATCGGTTTTCTGCCTCAATGCATATCTTGAGAACATTTCTTGATGGTTATATTTCTTCTTTTTTGAAACCTCCTTTTGATTTCTCATCATTCCGTTGCATTTTATTGTTGTCGTTTGGTAAGGAGAGGGGTTGTGGAACCAACATTATGTGAGTGTTCATTGCTTTTACGGTCAAAAATGGGCATCAATAGGAATTCGCCAAGAATCATGCGTATGTCAGTTTCGAATTGTATTGAGTTACAGTTGAAAATATTGTTTGATTTTTTTGTTTTTGGAGTCCAGTTTGTTTAATTCTTTTTTNAGTTCGGTATAACCTGTGAATGAGCATTGAAAATCTCGAAACTTTCAATTAATTGTTGAATGCAACACTCAGGGAAAGGTAATTTGTCGCCGTTGACGAAAGCAATCGAATCTTATAAATCATGCCTGGAGTATATCACAACACATGTGTTCATGGTTATAAACCAGAGTATTATCCTCTCGACGGGTCCTTTCCTTCTTCTCTGTCTTCCGTTGGTAAGCTGCAACTCAGTTCATTGGTTTCGTTTCCGAATCTTCATTTTAATGACATTTTCAAGGTTTATTAAAAAAGAAAGCGTTGTTTTCGTTTTCATGCGCATTACATTTACCGTAAATGAGAACTTATGCATTACTGACAACGACCGAAATTGCAGAGTGACGAGACACGAATCTTGACGTCGAGACATTGTCTGTTCACATTCGCAAAACATGCATTGAGGGCCTTTTGTACATCGGTTTGTTTGTGCGCAGTATATCTCTCCATTTTTTGGTTGTGTCAAAGAAGTTTGCTTTCTCATCGAAATGAGCAGATGCATTCCAGTGTTTGTCGAGTAGATTGATGTGACAGAAATAATTCTAGCAATGAA